ATATGTATTTATTTGAACAACATAAAATAAGAAAATTTACTTTTTTACAAACAAAATATATCTTGAAAATAATGTTTCATATTTATTTAATAAATATTTTACTCTAAGAATATCTAATTTGAATGCAACTTAATAAGAAAAAGTAAAAAAAAAAAAATGTTTTTTAGATCATAACAATGAAAAATGAAAATCACTAACAATAATTTGAAATAGGTTTTTATTTTAATTTTAGTCAAGTCATCAAGATGATGTGGCATCCACATCACCTCATCAAAGCTACACAAGTAAAAAAGTCAAAGGGTTAACCGGTTTAAAAGGTAACAGGTTACCCGTTGTTATTATGAGTATATTTTTTAAAGTACAATTTCTTAATAAAAAATAATTTGAAAGTACATTGCTATAATAAAGAAAAACAAAAATAGAATGCTATAATAAGAATTTTTATGAAAGTAGGTTGCTATTTCATGCATTTAACCTTAATTTTTTTTTATCATTAACATTTTATTTTATTTTATTAAATTATACTTATTAAAATATGAATTGTAAAAGCAGTAGAATATGAAATATGTGTTCATTTCGTTTCTTGAAACAATTTTATTTCTTGATTTAATGAAACAATTTCATTAACGGTTATTGAATTAGTATTAAAACAAAAAATAATGAAACAATTTCATTTCTTGATTTAGTGCGTTTGGTATGCAGACTACATGGGATGGGACGTGACAAAAAAAAATAGTCTCATGTTTGGCATGTCATGGACAAAAATTACATGAGACAAAATGAGACTATTTTTAAATTCGATGGGACAAAACTTGATGATTTTTGTTCCACCAAAAAATGTGGAATAACATGGGACTAAATACAAATTTACTATCTTACCCTTGGAAATCCAATAGAAAACCTAATAACTAAAGCCTCCTTCATCATCATCTCTTCTCTTTTCCACCGTTCCACGAGAGCTCCTTCCACATCGCCTCCTTCCATCGCCTCCTTCCACCGGCTTCTTCCACATCGGTATGATTTCTCTTTGCTGCATCGATTTCTTTTTTGCGATTCTTTGTTGCGTTGATTTTTTTGCTGCGTACGATTCCACATCGTTCTTCTCTTGGATTCTTGACTATAAACCCTTTGACTGTAAACCCTAACAAAATCCCCTAGGTTATGGTAAAGTAGTGCTTGCTCTTGACATCCATTTTATGAGATTTGTACTGTTTAGTCGAGATACTTTCTTAGCTGTGATTTTTCTCTGTCTCAAAGAGCCTGTAGTATGCTGCTTTGTGGATTTTTTATGTGTTTCAGTACCTTCACATACATAGTTACATACATTTTGTCTATGCTAAATTCCTAATCTTGTGCTTGTGGGTTTACTTTCAGGTTACTGGCAACTAGCTTAGTGTAGTTTGGTATATTGGACAAAGGTTACAAGTGAATTTGTGGTATGACAAATGTTGTTTACATGTGGTTTTGGAATGTTAAAAAAAAATGTGGGTTGAATAACATGTCAAAATGGGTAATATTTAATGTATTAAACTTAATTATAAAAACTTGTCATTTTTTTGGATTTATATTTAATGTATTAAACTTGATTATAAAAACTATTTAATTAAAATATATTTTGGTTGATTTGTTGTCATTTTACAATCATTATATGATATAAAATAACATTGAACAAAATTTAAGAGTAATATGATCATTTTAACAGTTTTGTCCTGTCCTGTCCTAGTCGTACCAAACATGGGACATACAATTAGTCTTGTCCCGTCCTGTCCTGTTTTGACCCGTCTTGTCCCGTCCCGTCCCGTGCTGTCCAGTCTGCGTACCAAACACTAAATGAAACAAAAAAAATTCTTTAGTATTCAAAATGTTTTATTATTTTTTGTTGATTATAGTATGTTTTATGTTTCTTAATTTATTAGGATATACTTAATTCATTGTAGGTAACAAGAAATGAAACTGTTTCACCCTTTATAGAACGAACTCACGTGACTTCTTGTCACCTACAATGAAAGATGGATCAATTGTCATGTAGTGTTCAACAATAATTGCAAATTGTTTCATTAACGGTTATTGAATTAGTATTGGACTATTAATAAATTCTAATCAAAATAATTTTAAAACAAGTGAAATCGTAATAAACGATGAAACATATAAAGAATGAAACATTTTTAAAAATTTAATGAAACATTTTGAAAACTGAATATTTTCTTATTTAATGAACGTTTTCATGCATAAAACGTTTCGAAATATTAATAAATTGAATGATCACTATTGAACATGACATTCGTTTCATTACTCAAAGTACATATATTTTTTCAATGAAACGAACACAAATTTCATATTTTACTGCTTTTACAATTCATATTTTAATAAGTATAATTTAATAAAATAATAAAAAATATTAATGGTAAAAGATTTATATTAAGAAAAAAGATTTACCTCGTTTTCATTAATATATTTTTATAATTAATAATAGTTAGTAGGATATACCTAATTCATTATCGGGGATTTAATAAATTTGCCTTTTTTAATTAAAAATAAACTTTTGTTTTCTTTTTCTTTTTTTATTTCCTAATATAAACTTATTTAATATTGACCATTTATGAAGAAAATTGATGGATGAGTTTGGTTTGTAAGATTTTCACAACTAAAGGTGGTTTGTAATTGATCACTCTTCTATGTATATATATATACATATACATACATATATATAGATATATAGACTTGAAATCATGTGAGACTCGTAAGACCAATTCTCAACCCTTAAATTAGATCTACAATCTGAATATTCATAATCACAAAATTGTTACGAGACTTCTCAATAATCACAAAATTGACACCGTGTAACTTTAGACCATTAGATCATTAGCTTATAAAATTGATCAATGAATATAAATTGGTCTTACAGGTCTCACGAAAAACCATTGGTCTCACATGAACTCAACATTATATATATATATATATATATATATATATATATGTATGACTTATCTGAAAACAAAATATTGGAAAAGGAATCAATATAAAACCCATCTGCAAAGAAAAGAATTCAAATGCATGAAGCAATGCCAATTTTATGCCTTTATTCACAAGAAATTCCCAGAACCCAAATTACATATTAAAAAAAGTCATATACTTGGAAATTATTTTTTATGGACTAAAATATGATATCATATCAATAAAGTGATACTAAAATCATTTTTTATCAAATATTTATTAGTGTATTTTATATTTCATTAATCTAATAAATACTAATTTCAGTCATGTACTTATGCTTTCACCTCCTATAAAATTAATTCATGTCTATTTAATCTTAAACAAAACAAATATATAAATGATTGACTTGAGTTGAGATCACTAAAACACTATCTAATATAAATGATTTTTGAGTAAATTACAAAATTAGTCCTTGTTGTTTGAGAAATCTCGGATTTTCTTCCGTCACTTCCATAATTACTCTAATAACCTATGGTTTACATTTCATTACAGTTTTTGTCCCTGACCCTAACGTCCGTTAGTGTTAACCGATGAGTGCCTCATGTGGGCATTTTCTTATCACACATTTTGCCTTTTAACTCGACACTAGATAACACAACATAAATACATAAGACGTGTTGCCACTTCTTCATTTAGTCATTGTGTTGAACTCATCAAATAACCCAACCCAAGCCAAATATTGGTGCTATCAACGGAGGAGTACACACTTTAGAGTTCTTTAGCTTTGAGCAACACAACTTTGTAAGTCACAACTTGGCTCGCTTCTTGAAACCTACTTCTCGATTCCAGAGATTTCTATTAGTTGTCTCTCCAAATATGTGTTTAAATCCCATGAGAACCAAATGAAAGACCAAGTTAAAAAAAAACCCCGAACATTCACAACAAAAACATTGTCAGCGTTTTGCTGTAAAATTTCAAGTGTAAAAAAATGATCTCATTAAAACAAATTAATATCACGTGATCCCAAGTCTTTGTATGATTGACTAGCTTCGGGGGCCATTGGGTTATAAGGCTCGTGGTGGGTGGAATGGTGAGTTTTAGGAAAAAAAAATTCAATGCCAATTGTGTGTAGATATGCATTCGTTATATGCCTGAATATTTTTAAAAACTACATAAAAAAAGACTAAAAAAAACCTAAATACCCTCACATGACTTGCACATGAGACGTGCTTAACGAAAGCCATTAACGGTTCATAAGGGTCAAGAGCAAAACCCATAATGTAATGCAAACCATAAAGTTGATGACTATCATTAAAGTTGAAGGACGAAGACTAAAGTTTCTCCAAACCACAGGGATTGTCTTTGTAATTTAGTCAAGCTTTTTTCTAAATAAATGAAAAAAAGGAAAAATACAAAAAATATCTTTCATCCATTTTACCGCGTGATCAAACAAAGCATCTCTTCCATCCTTCCCCTATATATACTCTCTCCAAACATAAAAAAAAAGGTGTTAGATAAAGAAAACAATTATTCAATTACTATTTTACCCCTCTCTCTTTCCTCTGTCAAACCTTAAACAGGCGATGAAGCCAGGAATAGTCGTGGTATTAGCTTTGATGGTCTTGGTGCTATGCGTGCCACCGTCGTCGGCTTCCGATTATCGCCGGCAAAAATGGTGGAAATGGCCGTCTTCGGGAAAATCAATCTGTTCGTCCGTCGTACTTCCACTATACGGCAATGTTTATCCTCAAGGGTAACTTATTGATTCCTTTGACTGAGTTCATTTGTCGATTTCAATATGACTGTTGTTTTCATCGGAGAATTTGTAGGATCGAAGGAAATAGCTACAATGATACTCTTTTTCGATTCGATTTCTTTTTGTAAATGAACAAATGAAATGAGATTGTGGATGAAACGTATCGATTGATCAATCTAAGTTGACTTGGATAAACCTGTTGGGTTCCAATTTCGATCAATACATTTTGACTTCATAAATCTTACCAACAATGAGATGTATCTGTGTATATCTTACTAAGTAGGGTTTTCGTACAATATATCTCGATTTTAGGGGGTGTTTGGGATTGCTTATTAAAACAACTTATGCTTTTTTGTAAAAGTGCTTATTAACTTATGTGGTATCAAACTGGAGTTTTGTAAAAAGTGTTTGGATTAGCTTATAGCGGTACCAAAAAGCAATAAGTTGATAAATTGTTTTGTAGTGTTTGGTAAATTTTGCTTATACATGTAAAATGACCAAAAAGGACGTTATCATGTTTCATTTCCAAAGTGTCAAAACACACACAACAGTAACCAAAAACCCTAAATCGAGTTCCATCGTGAAT